GTAGTTAAAGTAAAACACTTTGGTGGAAGATTGAACCCTTTTTATGGGTCCAAACCTGGGAGAAATCCAATTCAGAAACAGATAGATATGTAGAGCACAACACTATGGACAAAAGGCCTATTTCTATAAAAATAATATTAATGGCCACATGAGATGAGACGCATACTTCCACAACCAAAATACAAGAAATTAAAATTCTAATTCAAGTGTAATACTAATAAACAGCTATGAAGTATGAAGTGTTTTATAAGACAAGAAACTTCAGTTTGTAAATATCTATCATATAAGGATTTCTTTGTTCTTTTTCACGGGTATTTTCCATTCATAATCACGATTGCTGGTTCAAAATATCGAAGTGAAGAATTAAATTATATATCATATAAGGTGTAAACGTAGAGTATTTAATCACTGCTCCAACTCATTATAAGGATTACACTATTAAATATTATAAGCATTTAAAATTTGATAAAATTGAATGATTTCGTTAAACATTATAATTCATATACCGTCAATTATGATATACAGATGTAATGGATCCATGTATAAAGAGGTGAAGGAAAATTTTAACTATTTCACAGCATCTTCCATCTTTTCAAAAATTGAAATTAAATCAAGGAAGTGTTTAGTATCGTAATTTTATTCTTCAGAAATATATTTTCATAAATTTTCTAAAAAATAACCAAAAAATATATTTTTAAAAAAATAAATTTATGAAAGTATTTAAAGACATTATTTTAATGTGTAAAATTGTCTTGTAATAGATTTTAAGCTTATTTTGACTTGTTTTCCTGATAAACTTAATAACGATCAGCTCTTATTAAGTAAGAGTGTGTTTAATATAAATGCATGTAGCAAATTAACTTAATTAAACATTTATTCACAAATTATCATTAAAATAAAGCTTATTTATAATACTAACAACTAAGATCACATAAAACAAAGTTAAAAAAAGTTTCAATAAATTTTTCATATAATCTATTAAAGAATTATGCAAAAAAAAAATGTAATATGCTTTATAAAATTAAATAAAACAAATTTAAACACCTTTCACAAATTTATTAAATATACACTTCGTATAATTAACAAGTAGTTGATTTAAATAAAATTAAATTCGATTTCTCTAATAAGATCTTACATTTAAGTCTTAAAAAAACCATAATTGACAAGAAAGATTCAAAAAAATAATTAATCAGATTTTTCAGAAAAAAATTAATAATCGATAAAGTTAATCAATATTTTACACTAATAATATTCTTACACAAAAACACTTAATCGAAATATTTATTGAAACATTTATGAAGAACTCGAAATACGAATTAGGTGGACCAAATGCAGAACGGATATGATGTGTATAAAGAAATGGAGAAACAATCTGAATAGCTCCATGAAGTGACGAAAGCAGCAGCATAATATTTAAGATCCTTGGCCAAATAAATTGAACCTCCATTTTCTTGAACTAAGTGCTTCTGCAGACTACATCTATAAAATAATCTCTGCTAATGTTTGGAATCACAAGTTACTGACGGGTATAATGTTTGATTAAGGAAGCACTTAATTGTTTAATCCGTTTCATTGGTGTTGGAAGAAAACAACAGGATTTTTTTTAATAGTTTATTTCCTTTTGGCCATTTCTCAACGTCTCTTTCTTTCTGTTCAAACAATAGGTTGTGAAATTAAATAGAGGTTGAAGTTATCTTAAAGATTCTTAATGATTAGTGTTATAGGGACATTAGTTAAAGAAATAATAATAATAATCATCAATAATGATGATATTTTTTATTAAAAGTATGTTAGAGGTGTAAAATGAAGTGTATTAGTAGTATTTCAATAATCAATACTATTGTTTTGCACAACCAATTAGAGTAATTGAAAAGCGGTTTAAAATAATAAAAAATTGTACACTTTTTATACTATTTTTATGATTTTTTTTAATCAATTAATGTACAGATTTATAATAAACATAAGAATAACTTTATGAAATTAGAGTATACAGATTTAGTTTAACAAGAAAATTTTAGTCTATTTAATACTCTCTATATTAATAGTGTTATACAAATTAATAAATGGAACAAATTTTCTTGTTTTTGATAAATGATTTTGTTTTTTTTTTATTTTGACTCCATAATAAATATATATTAGTAATAAATGTATAAACTAATTAAAATTTATGAAATATGTAAGGAAACAATTGACAAAAAAAAATATTAAACTTTAAAAAATGATATTAAAAATTACAAAAAAAAAATTGACAACTAAAAGAAACAAAATGAATAGTTATTAGTTGTTTCTATAATGATGACAAAATGAGTAAAAATTTAGAATTTTGTATATATATTTTTCATTCTATTTTGTTTGATCTTTAAAGTTTTAATAAGAGACTTAAAAAATATAATTGATATATTTAATTTTGTAAAATAAATCATATAAGTTGCTAATACACTTTTAAACCTTTTAAATTCTCACTAATAATTAAGACATACACTAATATTATTTAAGAGTATAATAGAGAGAGAAAATATTTATCATTGCATTTATATTGTAAAATAATAACTAAATATATTGTTCTTTTACTATATAAATGCACCAATAAATATTTTTTTAGGCAGAAGTTAACTAGTAGTCTTACACAACAATTTAAAAATTAAAACATATTATTAATTTTAAATTATTAAAAATATATAAATTTATAATACTCTTTATTTAAATAGGTAAGAGCAAGCATTGAAGACAGCAAAGAAAGAAGGTCCATATTGACACTCTGCACGAAAATATTGACGATGATGTATGGATGAGGGCATAATTATTCTTGAAAGAAACTGTGAATTGTCGATATTACCCCCTTAAAACTTTTCATTCGCAAGCACGTGAGGCATCATAGCATGTGATACTGATGCATGAAATAGGAATAGACTCGAAATTCAACAACAACAAAAATGTTCTCAAAACCCATCAGTCAAATGAAACCCTAATCATTGCTGATATGAAATTTAAGATTCAAACACTGCCTTCCGATTAGACTTATAAACTCCATCTCCATTCCACGCACTTCAGCAACGCGTGGGGACCACGTGCTCAAAATTTGATCTTATTTTTTTCATTTTCATTCATTTTTGTTCTTATTTGTTTTGTTACATGGTATGTTCAAACTTGAATTAGATTTGAACTACCTTAGCTTACCCCTTAATTGTTTCTTCTTGCTAAAGACTTATGAGAGATGAGTTCATGACATTCAACAACAAGGGCTGATTATTTCGTTTCTTTGGTATTTGAAATTGGGTTTGCGTAAACTGTAATTTTACTTTACACATTTGTATTTTCAAAAATGCTATTCAAAATGTTGGTGTCATTGTAACTGAATTTAAATAGTTTATGATTGCTAGAACCGAAATATAATCATGTCATCTGCATAATTATGTATCGCGTAAGTGGGTAAAGAGTTATAATGGCGCAGTTTAAACGCAAATTTGCATGGTACGCCAAGGATTAAAATATAAAATTGACTCCTGAATTTAAAATGCTTCTGCAGATCTGGGAAAATAAATACACGATTGATGTTGAGAAAAAAATATACAGAAAGAGTTGGTGAAATAAAAAGGAAAAACGTTATTACGAAACTTGTGATATGTTTTCGAGAAATGTATGGTTTCATTTAGATTAAAATGATATTTAGTATGAGAAACATTTTAACATTTTTTTATTTAAAAGTAGTATATTTTTCTTTTTATTTTTATATTTGGTAGAAGATAATATTTTTTTACTCATACAAGATTCAGAAAAGTATTAATTTATAAGTGAGAATATGTTTTTCGTAATAATTAAATAAAATAAATAAATTTTATGTATTCTGAATGTAAAAAAAAGATTGTTAATTAATACAAAATAATTTTTAATTTTATTACAAAAGTCAACAACTATACGCATTAGTAAAATTTATTTAAAATAATTCACAAATATGAAGTTACTTTTTTTTTTACATGATAAATGATGGTAAATATATTAATCTTATAAAAAAGGTTAGAAAATAATCAAAATACACATATTTTGGAAAATTTTCTCGATAATCTTGCTCCTTAAAAACTCGTTAATTTCTTAAACAAGTAGATTTAATTAAAAAGGGGAAAAAGAAGGGGGGAAAATCTTTACTAAACGTCAATCAAGGATAATGGATAAAAAAAATAAAATAGTTTTTTTATTAAAAATACAGCATTTAATGTTAACAATGTCATCTGATTGTAATTTTAATAATTAAATAAAAATATTTATTCATCCAATGGTTAAAAAAAATACCATTCCTAGTACTAATCAAAATAAGATAAATTCACTTATCCTTTTAGAATTAAGTTTCTTCTTTCTCGGAAAAGATCTTTGCTGTTCTGTTGATTGAAGGGCACCCCATAAACTCTACACACACCTAAAATTAATGATAGAAAATTGTATCGAAATAAATTGCCAACTATGATGAGAAAAGACAAAGGAAGGGAACATATTTAGTAGTGTCGTTGTCACGCAATTTGTAGATATTCATATTCTTCCCACTTGAACGGCACTAATTAAATTCTAGTGGGTAGATATTCACATAACTAGCTGGCAAAATAAGTAGGAGCATTGGTAAATAAATTAGTGGCATGCATTGCATTGCATTGGGTTTCAAATTTTGGTCAAATTTATGGCTAATAATTTTTCTGAACACCCAACTAACGTTCTTCCACTGTCCATTGCCCAACACATGAAGTACTATCAATGGTAAACACATTTTTCAGTGACACAGACATTTCAACCATTACTAGTCACTGAAACTAACCCCAGTCAGGAATATGATACCCCACATACTCATCATTTCTTTTGGACTTTGAAAGCCACAACAATGAACTTTCCCTCACCAAGCTTTCCTTTTACGGGTTACTAGCACAAACCAATTTTAAGTTTTCTGTTCATTGGTCTCCAAAAGCAATACATCAACATTCACTGTGAAAGTGAATTTGTTGGAACTTGGATCTATATTCCAAAGCCAGCAATTAGTATACAAAGCCATATGTTCTTGAAAATAACCAAGCCAAATTCTTTACTAGATGTAAATCATTTGGTACAAGAGAAAGGGCATGATTGGAAAAAAGAACTGTTTAATTAAAAAGAATGTACACAAGCAGAATTGAGAATTTCATCCCTTAGTTTATAAGTTGTAATAAGCACAAGAAGAAAAACAAATTCTAAATATTACTAACACCATTTAGACTCTAATTGCCTCACAAATTTGTGTTTGTCAAAAATTCCAGGATTCTTGAGTCTGGAAGAAATTGGATGATGGCCTTTGCATTCTAACACCACTTATGCTGTTTCTTGCAGCCATCATTTCATTGAGTGAGAGCCTTTTCTTGGGTTCAGGTCTTTGCTTTGGAGCACTGTGAGACCTTAGTTTTGCCTTGAATGACTGAGTGTTGGCCATGTAGTTGGGGAAATTGGTGCAAGGTCTGAAGAAGGTGTCACCACAAACACTCTTGGCTGGTGTGGCTGGAGCATTAGGCCTTGCACAGTTTGTGAAACGTGGAGTGCTATGAGCAGTGTTGAATCTGCACTCGTCAACGTTGAAATACCAATCAAATTCTTGAAGATGTCTGCAATCAGGAACTGAGATTCTACCAGGGACTGGACAAGGAAGAGGGGATGAGATTGCGTGACATGACATGTCTTCTCCACACTCAGACATTGTTGAGGTAAAACGCCTAGACCTTGATCGGGTCTTGTATGTGTCAATTTCAACAATCTTGGGGCTTCCATCAAAACCATTCAAGGATGTTTCATAGGATGAAGCTAGCCTTTTACTGTGGAATTCACTCCTTGTTTCATCAAACCGTTCCTAAAAGTAAAAAATGACACAAGCAAATAAGACATTGTTTGTTGACAGATTAGTGATTCAAGTTGGTATTCATTCGGGACTAAAAACCAGTTTTTACCACAGATTTTCTTGCAAGAACTTCAGGTAGAAATCTGTTTTCTTTGCTCATGGAACGACGAGCTCGTTGTGTTCTAACAGCAGTTTGAGCTCGTATTAGAGCTTGCATACTGTGAAGAGTTGCAGCAGCCCTCTTTCTAACCAAATACCCTCTAACAAGAGCTTGTATCTTAACCAATCCCTTCAGTGCTCTAAGAGCCTTCCGCGCCTGAAAGCAAAAGACATCAAGTTTAAATCAAAAGTGCTAGTAGAACTTAACCAAGCTATGAAATTGATAAGGTAGATAAAAAAAAAATCATTAGCCTTGCTCAAATGTATCAAAAATTTAATATGGTTTAAAAGAGCATCAAACAAAAGAATAAGGATTTGAATTTGAATAACAAGACAAGTCAAGGAGAACGTGAGAATGGAAAGTGCAAATGGTAGTTCCAATGACCCTCCAAACAGAAAGGTAGATGTACTGTTTCATTAAGAATCTAAAATATTATTTGAGAGGAGACAAAGGAGTAGGAATCAAGCAAAGCATTTGACTTGCACCAACCAAATATATTTGTCCAAGACAGAACCACCACAATCACAAATCAAAACAATCTACGAAACAACATTTTCAAAAAACAAAGAAACCAGACATACATACCCATGTCACCGACACCAATTTGATTTGAATTTGAACCATCAAAAAAGGACAAAAACACATACCAAATAGCCTCTAAAGAAAGTTTGGATCTTCACAGCTGCCCACTTCTCCCTGCTTCCACTGAACAATGCACCTCTACCCTGGCTTGTGAGCCTGACAACCGCCACGGCCGCCTGCGCGGCGGCCACGGCGGG